TACTCTCTGATCACATAAGGGTTTACACTCTCTTGCTAATAAAATCACACTCTGTTGTTGCTGTCAGGTTCACATTTTCTCATGTGCACATGACAACTTATACACGCATTCTTCTTCTGTCATGTTAAACACTGACTCTGTGTACAAGTTAACATAACACACACAGGCTCTCACATCCAGTACATGTGCCTAAATGGCCACCACAAACAGTATGTGTGTGCACACATAAACACTCACACACTTTTTTTGTGTAGTCTGTGACCAAAGTCCACCCACCAGCAATCTGTTCTACACAAACAAACCAGTTCACAGTCTGAAAGGCCAGTTCTGTACACATGTGCACACAGACACACACAACTCCCACATTTAAACAGTTCATACAAAAGATATGCAGGCAAACCTGCATCCAAACAAACAGATAAAACACACACTCATGTTGACTGTATAAACTTGAAAAAGTAATTTTAAACACACTTAAAATGTTTGTGATGAAGATCACAATCACAGGCACACACAAAAACAGAGGTAAACACAGTCACACACTGTAATGCTAAGTGGACTTGGTTGTCCACACACACAAAAAACTGGCTTGGCAGCAACATTTTTCTCCTTGAAACCTAAAATAAAATGATGGATCCCAAACTCAAACTTTCCGATCCAAATACGTCGCAGGTTGCTGAGGAGAGGGGAGTGACCAACACTGCTGCTTGTTGTGCTTTACAACTTCCTGTTTGTCTCGGTTTGTGTGTGTGGGAAAGTGCTTTGTTAGTGCTACGCAGAAAGACACTTTAGACACATTCTGGCAACTTTGTCATCTCAGCTCGATGCATAACCCTGGAAAATACACAGTTAAATAGCAAATGGAAAAACAAACTCAAAGACAGCTTTACATGAGATAATATTGTTACAATTAAGTGTTGTTATGAAACAGCAAGGACATGTGGATAATTTTGGTTTTTATGAGCCAACTCGTATGATTTACTCTTTATATGGCTCTGACAGTCACCACTTTCATGTCTCAAACATCACTGCAGATATTCAGGACCCATATTAAGGCAAAAGAACTAAAAACCTGCAAAATATTAGTGATAAACGAAGAAAGTGTGGAAAATCATGGCAACAGAAGCCAAACATGAACAATGTCATCTGCAAAAAGGAAAATTGAAGCTTACTAACATGGAGCACGCTGTATTTTGGTACAGTCAGATCATCTACAGTGGTGTTTGTAATTTATGAAGCTACCCTGTGTATTATCATCTTTGAATCAAGCTGTTTTTGCATAATCTGTTTTTTCCATTATCTCTTTTTCTGCTGGCTAATTTTAGGGAAAGTTTTTCTATGTAAACCTTTCAACTAAATATTTTATAAACTTTTTATGGGGGCCAAGTGTTAAAAGTGTTGCTGGAATCTTGTTTATGAAAGACAAAGAGGAGAAACAGCAGATGAAACGGTGCGAGGAGAAAGGGCGATGGAGTGTGATAGAGAAGTGATGGAGTGGAGATCACAGATGCTCAGAAGTTCCTTTTTTTAAGCTTATTAGAAAAGTCAGATGGAGGACATGTCTGTGGCGACTCGCGTACACACTGTGGCCCCTGGAGTCATGTGTGTGTTTGCATTTTTGGATCTCTGCTGCTGAAATTCTTCTGGTTTGTCTGTGATACATTTGTAAATGCTGCCATGCAAGTGTGATATCATGTCTGCCTGTGGGAGTGTGTGCTCCAGTGTTTCTATCCTTGTAAGGACCAATGGGACTTACAGTGAGAACAGTTTTGAAAATGAGGACATCTTGTCAAAGTGCTGTTTGAGAGTTAAGACATGGTTTTAGGCTCAGTGGTAGAGCTGGGTTTAGTTTAAGGTCACACTTGTGTTAATGTGGGTGCTTGTGACTGTGGAAGTAAAAACATACTTCTGTGGGAAGTATACATTTCACACACTAATATTCTTACTGAGGCATCACTTGGCACGTGCTCTGCGTGTGCTGTATACAGGTTGGATGGATTGTGACTGAATACAGACACACAAAACAGACACCTCTCCCAACAAACAACGTAGGCTGCTGTGTATTATCAACATCTCTCCCTCCAATTATCACACATACTGTACAAACACATACACTGACACACACAGATTAGTGCAGTACTGTAGATGCTTTCAGTTATCAGTACACATAGAAACACTGTTGGTTTGGAAACAGTCCTGTCCACCCTTCTCAGTAACGCAAACATAGGGTTGTCATGGCAAAGGGACAATATATTGTACAGGCAGAATATTTGTCATGTGAAGGAAAGTGCATGTGTTCACCTACATGAGTGTAACTTTGTGTGAAGCGAGAGAGAGAGAGAGAGAGAGAGAGGGGACAATAGTAAAGATGATAAACCCAGTTCACTGTGGATCGCTGAATGTGCTATCTGGAAATATTTGACTTTGCTGAAAGTACCTGAGATGATGTGTCTAGGTGTGTGTGTGTGTGTGTGTGCGTGTGTGTGTGTGTGTGTGTATTGTTTGTTGGTCATGAGCTTCAGCAGAGGAGCCACCGTTCCTGAGTTTGGGAAAAATGTCCTCCAGTCTGTCTCTGCCAAAATGATTCATTTCACACATACATGTAGAATTAAATCACAATTTTCATTTTATGTTCACACAAACAGTAGTTTCCTTTGACTTAGGGCCATCACTGGTGAAAAGACACTGATGATTTAGGTTAATGATAGCTTTGCTTTGGGTCCTTTTGTTATATGTCTTAGTCTTGTTCAAATCCACCATGTCTATAGTTTGTAAAAAAAAAAAAAGTCCTGGCAAAAGGATTAATCTGAAAACATTAGTCTCATGAATCAACTGTTTGGTTTTACTGCAGTATTTTCTCCTGTCCTGGGTGGAGAATTATGGAGGCTGCAGGGCATTTCAAACCAAACAGCATGAAGAAGTTGCTAAATCTCAGTGAAACACAGAGTTTGTTTATCTCATAAATATGTTTGAAAGTAAATAAATAAATATATCCTGTGCACTTCCAGTTCTTTGTAATAGGCCTTTAGGACTTATTTTAATTGAAGTGCAGTAGTAGTAAAACAGTATTCATATTCCCAGTGGGAATATAAGCATTACTGTTCACCAAGCCATTCCACTTAATCACTTGGGGGTGTAAGTGCCTTGCTCTAGGGCTCCACCTTGAGGGAGGAGAGGGTTTTACTCCATCACCTCTCCAGTTGCTGTGTGTTAGCTGACAGTCTGCTGGTTATGAGCCTCTCCAGGCCAGAAGATGAAAACTGTTTTCCATCTGCTTTTGGGACAGTGAGAAGTGGGCCATTCCCAGTAGTGTAATGAGTGAACCCCTGAAAACGACATGTG